GTGAAGATCATTGTGTAAAAAAATTTGAATTGGAAGAGGTTGAAGAAGAAGAAGAGTATAGATTTAATCATTTTGATAGATCAGGAGTATGAAATAAATTTTTTTGGTTAAAATTCACTGGAAAATATCCTTATTATGTGATACAATTAAAATATCATATCGACGACGAAACAGAAATAAATAACATATTAAAAACTAGGATTAAATTAAAACACCAATTGAATAATTTATCCTTGAATTATATAGGGTTTCCCCCTAGAAATTACCTTAAAAATAGGGTAATTATACGAAAACCACATTTTATTTTCAATTTATACATAAACTGAAGGAATTACAGCATCAGCAGCAGAATCAGGAAAAACAGGCGGCGGTCGACCGGTCCGGTCGACCGCACCCTCCTTGCTCCGTGGACGTAGGCAACTTGCCGAACCACGTAAATTGTGTGTTCTTGCTGTGATTGTGATTTGCATATTATTTGTGGTTTAGTTCGAGTTATTGTTCGTGTTGCCCTAGAAAGCTTCCGCCGCGCACAGCATAAACCACATTAAAAGTTGGTTTTTATTGCAATCAACCACATCCGAGTTAAATTCTTCACATAAAACCCAAAATCACCTTTAAAAAACTCACATTCAACATACATGACACATTTTTTTTTAGTATTTGAATCTTATTAGGATACAATTCACGTACCTTGAAGTTAAATTTTCTAAGCTTAATTATAGTTTTTTAGTGAAAATATGACTAGGAGGTGGTTGATTGTAACAAAAACCAACTTTTAATGTGGTTTATGTATAAATAGAAAATAAAAGGTGGTTTCCTTATAATTTAAAGGAGATTTCTAGGAAAAAACCCAATTATATATCAATCACACGTCTCCTAAAATTTATGTACAATACAAAGTCCCTTGCACTTTACCAACCATGTTTGAGGATGTATAGAATACACAAAAAAATAGACATTTTTTTTGTGTTTTTTATCAGAGAAATACACGTGTTTCTGATAGTACATAAACCCTGTTAATTTCCTACACATCCTAATACCAACCTTATTTTTTTCGTAATTAATGCTAATTATGTCCCCGTCACGCTAACCACGCGCTCCCTCAACCTCCACTGTAACCCCTCGCGTGCGCAGCCGCGCGGCCGTTACGCCTCGTTAACGTCAAAGTCGGCAACACCGCAGCACAACTGCCCCACGCTGACTCGTGGGCCCCGCAAAAAAATTACAAAGGATAACCTTGACGTTAGTTTAGTCCACGGAGAAACCGCCACGTGTCTGAGGGACCTCACAGCGGACGTGAAACGAGGAATCCAATCCAGTCGAGTATTTTCGGGCACGGTTTATTTCACTCAGCTTAAGGTGTCGAGAAGAGGTTGTTTTCGGTGTTAGCCCCTTAATATGGTTAATATTCTGCAATTAGTTCCTCACACGAAATTAATCTAAGGTCCCCAAATATCAATTTCATTAACATGAGGAACTAAATTTGAGAGTAACTTATAATAACTGAGGGACCTAATAGCAATTTCAATAATGTGAGGTACTGAGATAATGATATTCAAAACGTAAGGGACTAATACGGGAAAAAACTAAATCCCTTATATTCTATTTCTTTTCACTTGTGCCATTACTTGCGCATCTGAGAGCGGGAACGAGCGAAAACTCGAAAAGAGGGGGAAAATGGCGACCGAGAATTTGACCCCGGCGAAGGAATTGGCGGCGACAGCGGACGCGGAGGAGGAGGTTATCTCCGTCGAGCTCCCAGCGCCTGAGGGATGGAAGAAGAAGGTCTGATTCTAGGGCTTTTTCTCGTGAATTTCGCTTTCTGTTTGGTCCAAAATTCGATCTTTTATGCCCTAATCTGGATTTTGAGCTGAATTTCTGGTTAATTGAGTTAATTCTCGTGTGCTTTAGCGGCAGCGCTGCTTGCTAGGGTTTCTGTTTGGTTTACATGTGTTTTGTCCCTTTTTGTAGTTGCGATGGTTGTTGAAGCTGGAAAAGCTAGGGTTTAGGGGTTGACCGAGTTTTAGAGTTCGGTTTTAATGATTTTGGATGGCTTGAGTTGGTGGATTGCTTGAATCGTTCTGTTTTTGGTGATATTTTTTGGTAGGTGATGTATGGAGTAGTTTGGAAAATCTAGGGTTTTGCAGTAACTAGTTTGTTTATGGACGAGTACGTAAGCTGTTTGGATTCTTTTCGTCCTTTTTGTTTTCCACTGCTTGCGATCGCTAGTAATATCTTTGATGTTCATGTTTTTGGTCATTTAGGAAGTAGTAGTTGTTGCATTATCTGTTGAGATATTGTGTTTCTTGATGTGTTCTATTGTGTTTCACACATGTAATCTGTGTAATAATTTTCGGTTGCTCTTTTCTAGGAGTTCTTATTGTTTAGGAAACAACAAAGTATAATAACCGGTGATACCTTGTTTGTTAGCAATAAGTTGCTTATAAACTTTGGATTCAATTGACCATTTTATGGAGATGCCAAGGTTGGTGTTATTTCCTTGTCATGTAAAATCCCTCTTTTAATCATGTATTGCATTGAGCAGTTGCAAGAGAAGCCCCCTCTTTAAAAAAAAAGATGCTTTAAAAAAATCAGTCACTTCATTACCAACCCTATTACTACTTGCGCGGATCAACTTGGTTTACAACTTACAAGTGAACCGTGGAGACCGAATTTGGTCTCCATGCCACGGAACAAGAGTTTGGTCGGGATGTTTAAGTAGGTGGGGCCATGGGGCACGATCAACTCTGTTACTAGACTATTAATGAATTCTCTACTGTCTTTAACATGTGAAAAATTCATTAGAGCAAATAAAAAAGAGAGATATTTGTCAGAGTAGTTTTTATGGTTCTCATAATTATTTTATTAAAAGAAGAATTATTGCTACATGTTAATATCAACTTAAATCGTTCAGGCATTGTCTGTTCCTGTTTTAGAGGTGGAACTGACTATTAATGAATTCTGTGCTTTCTTTAACATGGGAAAAATGCATTAGAGCAAATAAAAAAAGAGAGATATTTGTCAGAGTATTTTTTGTGTTTTTCATATTTATTTTTAGTTAAAATAAGAATTCTTGCTACATGTTAAGACCGACTTGAGTCCTTCGGGCATAGTCTATTCTGGTTTTAGAGGTGGAACTGGAATTAATTCTTTCTCCATCCTTCGCAACTCAAGGGCCATTGCCCCTCACAGTGGTTAACATTGTCTCTTAATAATCCGAACTTAAGTTGTTGTTTAACCTACCATTGTCAGAGTACATTATTTACTACTGCTGATGCCACAATTAGTGCTGACTTTACAATTTTGGGAGCATCCTTTTAATATGGTTTTGCCATAGACAGGAACTAGTGTCAACTTTACCATTGGCCGGTAACCTTCTCTTGGGCATAGCATATGCCACATTTCTGATAAAATTTAGTCTTATTTTGTAGCCCTGATATTAAATGACATTGGTATTCTGCAAACCCGGATATAAATGAAAGGTCTTTTGAGTTTTCTTCTTCTAAACTGAACTGAAGATACGTGGCAGGTATTTTGTTAATTATTTAATTTTTGATTGGAAGGGTTTGTTACTGTTCATGCTTCTATGTAAAGGATTCACTTTAGGTACTTTCTAAAGTTAAACACAACAACGCATGTTGAACTGATCTGAAATAACATATGAACTTGCTTTCAATCTTGTTGGGAAAGAGCTCAAACCTACGTAGTGTATTGTCTTTGTTTGTTGCAAGCATCTGCCAATTGTTAGTCTAATTTCATGAATAGTCAAGCAATTAATTGGGGGCATCCTGGTTTGTGCACAGTGTAGATTCTGTTTTGGATAAAAAGTATTTATTTTATGCATGAATATGTTTATTTGACCCTATTATATGTACTTGCGTTGCAATCCTTGTAGGTTAAGTTTTGATGCATGCAAAATGTGACTTGAATTCTTCAATGTTTTTTATTTGGCCTGGTTCTGTATATGTTTAACAAGAATGAGTGAGAAGGACAAGGGACAGACCTGAAAGGCAAAGATTGAGGTTGTAAAATTGCACATGCTAGGTGTTAATTTATTATGGGAGCTGACATGGAGAAACATGATTCTTATAGATGTCCCGCTTATCCGAACAAAGACATTGTTTGTTGTTGTTGTTATAGGATCTCGGAAAACGTCATTCTTGACTAGTAGTTATTGAGTATAATTTAACAAGGACAATGTTTCCTGGTCTTTAACCCTGAATCTTTTTTGAAAAATGGGAGGTTGCACTCCTTGTCCTATTCCTATGGGAGGGGGATTTGATGAGGGCGGGTAAAAGGCACAACACAATGTTGAATTATATTCGTAGTGATGAGGACACATGGATTGAAGAACATCCGTTTCTGCTAGATCATTGGTTTTTATGAAACAATAGGATGAGAAATTGGGAATTATTGGTTCAACTTTCTAATGAACTATTTTATATGGAATGGATTCAAATCTTCTAACAGTGTTGACAGGATAAATTTTGGGGGTTGGGAAAATATCAGATAAGATTTAAAGGATATCTGCTACTATTGTTGATAGCGGCTGGCAAGAATGCGTAGGGTTAAATAAGCTTATCATATTTTTTTATGACAGCACCTAACCTGCATCTCCCAGAGAGACACAGAATATCCAACATCCCATCAGCATGATTCATATCTCAAGTTTCTTCTTGGTGTTTTTTTCTTCTAAAATTCATTGGTTGCTTGATTAAATTTTTTGAGCATTATCTGTTTGTTTGGCTCTCGAATCGTGTGCCCCATCATCTATTGTATCAGATGTAAAGTGCCCCTCGTTGATGCATGATAGTAAAGATATTTGTGAAAAATTGTGGGTGAGCTCAGGGCAAAAATCTGATTTATGGCCAAAAGGTAAGGTATTTATTAGCTAAGAGTTAGGTCGAACAGAGGTCTGACTCATGATACAACTGTGGTAGTGGAGTCAAAGGGGGCTTGTGGTGGTTAGTGTACATGATCCCAAATTCAGGCTAGGAGCTCAGAATATTTGCATTTTCATGGATGAAAGTGTCAAGTGTGGGCATTCAATGACGAGATGATCTGGAGAGATTGGGAGCAACAGTACAAAAGAGGCAATATGGTTTCCTAGTACATTGAGTAGGAAGAAAGCGATTAAATTGGTGAGCAAAGACTCTAAGGGGTTCTCCCCCTTGTGCATGTGGGTTCTCAAGTTTATTAGCTATCGCTTCACAAGTCAGCTTGTTGATCAAGAAAGGATCTCCTGATTATTTAGGTCCATTGTGCCCCCACCCTCGTCGCCACCCCAACCCATCCAAAGAAGTCTAAATTAAAATCTCAAATTTGGATTAGGATTTTTTTTTTTTGAAGGCAGAATTTGGATTAGGATTTTAAGTTCGTTTGTGGGTAGTATGAGTTGCCTTATGTTCTGTGTTAAATTAGTTTGGATGTGTAGGTTGCTTCGTTTTGGATTAGTCAGTCATGTTGGTTCGTTTTGTTTAAGTAGGAATGGGGAGTCTGTTGTTCTCTTCAACCTCAAACTTATTCTTTTTGAAATGACCTGTAATCTATTTCAGAAGTCATTCATTACTTGATCATGAGCTCTATCTATTTACTTTTCTTTCCTATTTTTTGCTTCACTGTCCATTTCTTTTTATCCTTAAGTTAAATCGTGACAGCCTTGGAGTGTTTCTATCTTGTTTTCTTTTAATTTCAATTCTACCATATTATTTGCTTTTCCCAAATTTCTTCCCAATAACAAAGGAGATTAAAAAAGTTAAAAGCATCAGTGATCATGCGATTATCTTAGCTGTAGTTTAAGTGGAGGATTGACAAAGGATTGGCAAGATGCATCACCATTGACACGTGAAGTATTTTATCATGGGTTCCAATTACTGTTTGTTTTCAAAATTCTGTTAAGAGGCCTGCATATTAAATTATTACAGGAAGCTCGTTATGGAAGCTATGGTGGGACAATGGCGTTTAACTTCCGTGGATAAATTGATTCTGAAGTATCATTTCAAGGGTCCAGCTCTCTTTTTATACGTTTTCTGTTTGCTATTTTGAGAAAGTTGTATGTGCACTATATAATTGACTGGATCAATCTAACTGATCAGATACTTCAGTCAGCATGATATTTGTGGTCTATTTTTTATGGGAGACTTTGTATTACTTAGATTATTATTCTTTGTGGACTTTTTTGCAAGAGTTTCTAGATAGCATGTTTAATCTCATATGTCCTGGCAATATAATTTCTTTAGCCAATTTCATGATCTAGCCCAATCTCTTTCTTTAAATTTCATAGGCTAAACTTTGTTATACGTTGTCAGTTTTATAATTGCGGTAATTAGTGCCTTGAATTTTATGTTACTGGTAGTTTATTCCATTTAATTGTTTTGGCATGATAGTATTAACTTCTTTACATGTTTGTTTGTGGTCTTTGGGGAACTAGACATGTACGTGATATTAGCACCATTTTCCATATTGAGAATGTAATATTCTCTAGACTGATTGTAAGATGTAAATAAAAAACTTTAAGACTAAGAGAAGTTTGTTTTGGTTGAAAATTTTGGAATTTCAAAATCTAATTTAACCTCTTTAAGTTTGCCTCCCCTCCAAAGAAAACAAAAGAAAACCCTAAATCAAAGAGTTCTCACGCACAAAAGAAGGCGTAATTTAAGTAATCTGGGACTTTCTACACATCGAACACAGAAACAATTAGATGGACAATGAGCACTGATATCGAATTTCTGAGTGCTCCAGCTTCATAATTGGAATGTAGCAAGATGCTAAATATGTTAAGGAAG